TCCCTTCCTTTATAACAAACCAACCATCAACCAACTTCCACTTCTTTTTTCCAACCTAAATCTACTCATAATAACACCATAATCACATTTAAACTTCCACACTCATGACTAATCAGATAACTTTATAATATCATCATCTAAAATTTGCAGAGAAAACAATGTCAAATGCTATCATCACTCCTTCAAGAATGTATCAAGTTCAAACCTTGCAGTTCCAACTTCCAATTCCAACAGTCTCTGCTGAAACCTTTTCAAGTTTCTTTTTCCTAACCAGAAAAAGGTTACAACGTTAGTTGGGTTTAAAAATGTGTCTGGATAAGCCCCTTAAACACAGTGCCATGTGCTTTGTTTGAGATAATTAATATACAACAAGTTTTATATATAAATATATATAGATATACCTGGGTGGAGGTATGTCAGCATCATATGTTTTTATAATTAGCAATGTTGTAAACATAATTATATTGCAAACTCCCAAGTTGTAACGTGGTCCTGCCTGTTAGAGCACTGCATGATCCAACACGTGACACGCGCGTGCGTATCTACCTAACGTGCATAATACTATTACTCACAGCGATGCACACATTGTCAACCCAACTGTTCACACACACGGTGTCATCATGTCATGTCTCAGTGCACAGAAAACAGTGACTCGTGTCACCTTGTCTAATTTCAAGCATACTCTACGATATCCAATTCAATCCAATATAATAAAATAAAATCTTAACCCATCCACCATGTCCCGACAAAGCCAAACTCCAAAGTTAAGTTTGCATATTTACGCTGCCTTGAAGAAGATCAGATGCATATAATAATAAACTCCATTGCCTGAAAAAGTTAGGACTTTTAACATAAAACATGTTCATCTAATTCACAAGACAGGACAAGCAGCGATACAATATTCTCTTAAAAAATAACAAGGCAAACATCATCTTAACCAGTACACTGATACACTGATATGATTCCCTCACACATTCATTCATTCGTCCATCCCCAACACATTCATATGCCCCACCACATTGCAGTCAAACACTATTCTAGCTTGGTAAATGGGACTATAAGGTCAAACCCACCACCTATTTTGCTTTTCTTTTCACTTTTTGGGCTCTACTATCTATCATTACATTATTGAACAACTGCTGCTGGTGTTGTCATCACTGAACATGTGAGTCGCAGAGTGATCATCACCCCCAGGGTAACTAGGCAACCCATAGGAATAGGCGTATTGTGCAGGGCTGTAGCTATTGCTATGGTTGTAGTAATAGCCAGTGTTGGGGGGAATCAAGGGAGACCTGTGATACATCATCTGGGGCTGTTGTTGCATGGCTTGTCTAGCCTGCATGTTCATGTTCATGTTCATCATCAATGGCGATGGGGATGGATGGTTGTTGAACCCATTCATGTTCATTAACAGAGAAGATGGGTATTGCCCAGCACCAATACCTCCATTTGAAAAACCTGCAGAGGACCCTGGAATCATGTTATTGGACTGAACAGGAAAACCTCCCATGCCACTAGAATTATTGGCTCCTAGAACAGTGGCACTGGTGACATTGCCACCGTTACCGTTAAAACCAGCCATGTTCATCATGGCCCCAATGTCATTGGCCCTTTTCGCTTCACCAAGATTGAGGCCGAGGCCTTCACCACCCACATGACCACCGTTCAATTTTAAGGCTGCCATTGTTTTCTGATCAAGCCCCCCATTCGGACTCTCCTTCATTCCCATATTCGGATTCGGGCCTCCTTTCTTGCCACCACCACCACCACCATTGCCACCACCATTGTTCATCTTACCATTGATGGCACCTGCTCCCATGCCCCCCATACTTTTCCTCACATTTGCATTAGCTGTTTGCTGCTTGAGCATCTGCAGATGATGGGCTTTCTCCCTTAGAAACCGCATTTCTTCATCTTCGTCCTCATCATCGTCTTCGTATTCAGAGTAGTATTCATCCTCTTCAGAACTAAAAGCAGGAAACTTTTGCTGGTTTTTGAAGGCATCAAGCCCCTTGGGAAGGCCTTGCTTCTGTCCTTTGTTCTTGTCATCCTTCGCGTTGGTGTTCTTCTGCTTTTGGTTCTGGTTTGTTTTCTGAGACCAGAGCTCGGCATATTTACCAGCTCTCACCAGCTTCTTGATCAAGGTTGCAGAATCCACACTACCTGAAACCGTTACTTTCTGCTGTTCTGCATCTATTTGAACTTGGTAAACACCTGCAGACCAACAAATAACCAGAATCTCAATAAACTGTAAGAACAATAGATAAACCTGAAAATCTACCCTACTTGAAAGACAACGAAAAGGGGACATTCTTCTAAACAATTTACCAAATCCTTAACATGATCCAATCTGTACATAAACGAAGGTCAAACTACCACAGGTTTCCAACATCATAATTGAAAGCCCAACTTCCCA